ACGAAGAGTGTTTAAGATCGAGTGGCAGGGTTGCGAGGAAAAAGTATGTCAAGAAGCACAAGGATGAGAGAAATGTTCTTGCGGTCGGAGAGCGAAGTGATAACAGACAGAAGCAGCGAGGAACAGTCCACTGTGAGATATGCTCTGTGAAGAGGTTAGAGTGAGCAGCGAGCGTGGTGTCTCTATCTCACAGTATCAGCGGAGAGCTGTTTTCTCTTTCATGCTAAAGAACACACACATGGACACCCCTTTACACACTTTTCTCCCCTGTGACTTCATTAGCCAAACCACATGCTGAGCTCGAGGAGTAATTGGCTGCCCTTTCAGCCTACTAATGGCAAGAGTGGAGGAGAGGATAGGACAGGAGCGGAACAAGCAGAATTACTGTTGATTTCTAAAAAAATCTCCCCCTTAAAAGTTTTTATGTCTAACTTGTACTTTTTTGCTGTTCCTTCCTGCCCCTACTTCACAAGTTTCCTCTATTAGAAGACAAAGAGGAGAATCCCTCAATTGTTCTGCCATATAATTCCATATGAGTGTGTTCTGCTTAGAGATATACCTCCGAACAAGGAATGTAAAAAAAAATCATGTTTTAAGTGTTTAAAGCATCTAAGAACCAATTTTTGTAAAAGCTAATTCGTTGCATTTCAAATTAAGTAAATGATAAGAAAAATGTATCATGTGGTTATATAAATACTATTTGAGATTATTTAGTGTGGTCTGTTGTGGTCACCATCAGAAATCAAAAATTGTTCACCCGTAGGTTCATCTCTATTTAAAGATTCTACATAACAAAGTAGAATCTGTACTCAGGGGTCTGGATTATCAGTATTGGAAGCGTTGTTGTTTTGTTGTGCGTTAGTAGCCCAAGCTGCATTGAACAGTTACATATTAGCAGGCTTTTGTGTGTGCAGGATAAACAGTCTGTAGGGAAACCAAAAGCTAGCAGAACGCCATCGACTCTAATGACATATCGGCTGCCATCGTCGGTAATCCAACGTTGATTTATTTGTCTCCATAAACAGATATCTGCATAAAAGTGCAGCTAACAATCAAATATAGATCAAACATCAGAGTACTGGAAAGCCTAGTGGTAACATATGTTGCGCCATGTACAGAGGTTTTCGTTCTCGTAACAGTAGCAATGGGTTCAAATCCGACCTTTGCCATTTGCCACATGTCATCCCCAGATCTGTCCCCTAAAGAGTTCCTGTCTCTCTTCAGCTGTCTTATCCAATAAAAATGGTTCCCAAAGAAAAAACGTATATATGCAGAGCGAACATTTTAACTTGAGCGACAAGTCTTCTCGACGTTATTTCGAAAGCTAATAAATTATTTCGGCGAAATCAAGACCTGTTAATTGTTAGTGAATCACAAGAAATCGGTTTCATTTTTCAGGCTCAAATGGTTGAAATAAGCCGGAGTGAAGCCCATGTGTGACTATCATCTACTGGTGACTCATGAAAAACAGATGAATGGGTGCTACTCCAGGGGATTTAATGGACTAAGAAATCACAGGGTGTATGCTGATGTTCTGTGGATGTAAACGCTGCATGGAACAGAAAGTCCCGGCTAGAAGTTGTTTAAAGCTAACGACTGGTATCATAGGAATCACTGAAGAATTGGGATCAGTTTCCAGAGTCATATCCGGTCTCTCAGATGATGCTAGACAATGAGTTCCGAGATTGCTCTTCGGTGAAATCATACATTCCATAAAAAGGGCCAAAATGATCCCTGGCTGTGCTCTCTGCTACATCTAGCATCACATATGGAATGCTAGTTACATCAGCTCTGGTATTTTGCTCCAAATGGTTGACGGACCCTTAGCTAGGCAGCTACTCTTTTAGCCTTCTTGCAGTTCGTATCAGACTGGATGTCTGTGATGGAAGGGTTTATGACCCCTCCCTGATTATAGGGCCGACAGCATGCATGGAAAACACAGACCTCTTGTCAGCCCATGCAGGCCACCTCAACCTCCCCTGCAATTGAAAATACTGACAAATGTGGAAACGGCTGATATAGAATGAAAACATGATTTCCTTCATCAGAGAAGCTCCTTTAAGACTCCTCTGATTCTCAAAAGTTTCAGGCCAAAAGTAGGATCCTGTGTGATGCTACTCAGCCAGGCAAATGTGTGCAGTCCTGCAGCTGGAGTCTAGAGGTTCTAACAAAGTGGAGCGATGAGGGACAGCAGTCAGAAAAATGTGTGAGTCGCTCTAAACAGGCAACAATTCAAAACAGAAACAGCTTTTAATCAAGCATGGACCAGCTTTGCACAGTCAACAGACAGCTCAAAACAGTTATGTAAAGAATCTTTTTAAAGGTGTTTTTGTACAGCGATATGAGGCAAGCTCTGCCTTGGGGTACATGTGAAGACTGATTATAGAAATTGCAACGTTTATGCTACTGCAACACAAATGGCCATAATACAACAAAACGTAGTGTGGTAACTCTTAAAACAGAACCCTTTTCTTCCTCTCCCTGTCATATACAACCGGTCCACAGAGCCTTATTACCCTGATCTATGTCCTTGTTGTTCTCTTTAAAAATGTTATTTTTCACAAAATCTTGGCGTTGTCCTCCAAGACATTTTCACTCGCCGTCCACATACATCATGCTGCCTTAAGATGTACAAACACCGGTCCTGTGGGGGAGAAGCTAACCCGCGTCGAGTGCGGAAACACTCTCCAGGTCCACCAAGGTCTCCTCACATCAGGAGAAATTAAAGGCTTCCCTTGTGTCTCTTAAACAAAGACAGAGCTTCAAGAGGCTGAGCCCGTCTATCCCATGATCCAGTGCTGACCTGAGCTCATGTGATGGAACAGAAACCTCGATTCAAAGTGACTCTCAGACCACATACTTACGTATTCCATGCATACATGAAGCCAGGGGCATCTTGTTGGGAATTTCTAGTGTCACATAAGAGCAAGGTCGACTATATGAAGCAACACTTGACTGTCCCATGTGAAAGGCTGCAGTATAGGCTACAGGAAGAAGTACACTGAACACAGCAGAGGCGCGCATGAAAGAGGCTTTACACAAAGTGAGTGGTGATAATGAAACCACTTCCTTCTCTCTCTGCGCTGCAAATCACCTGCCTCTTCAAACACACCTTAACTACCACATCGATCATTTTGCGCGCTTTACGCCTCAGGGTTACAACCTTTATACATCTTGTGAGTGTGTGTGCGCCGGGGAGTGTGCTTATGAGCCTGAGAGACTGAGCTAGTACTGCTCCAGCACGCATTTATCTTCTTATGTAACAACTAGACTAGCATTAGCACATGCAGGCTAAATGCTGCCTCTACTCAGCTAAACATCAGCTGCAGAGTTCTGCCCATTTCTCAGCCCAAGCAAATTGAGCTGAGCAGGTTTCTTGAGGACACGGTCCCCCAAATACAAATGTATTAATCAGGGCCGTGTCTTCATCCTGCCTCACGCTCCCATTAACCTCGGGTTCAGACTCAATGGCAGCCACATTATCAAATCTGTCATTATTCCTTTCACTATTAGCTGCCGTAAATGAAAACTGCTGAATAACACGGTGGCTTTTAACCCTATAACTGTTGTGTGACTGCAGGGTGGATCTTCATATTTCCCTCATCCAATGCCATGTCTGACAGAAACTAGTTCAATCTGAAAGAATTACATAGTGATGGCATGCAACAGCTGAGGTACGAAGGTAAGAAAAGTAATGTATCATACCAATGTAGCGTAGCGCGACCTGAGCCTGAATAAGGCACAAACAGGCTTGTTAAGGAGAAGAGCCAGTGGTCTTTGCACCTTTAAGTGGCAGGTGATAACAGGTGGCATGTTACACCACCCTCTGAGTGGAAATACCGAGGCACCGCAGCACTTTTGTCAACTTGCAGATAAAATAATGAATCATATGTTTCGTGAAACACGTGATGCCCATGCAGCTTTAAGATGCCAGTGGATAATCGAGCACACAAAAAACATGCAAGCTGAAAGAGAGGCTGCTTTCAACCGTCCGCAAATAATTTAGACGTCCTCTACCTGAGACTCCGTCATCACTTTGAGGAAGAATGTCATGCCTCAGATCAGTTGATGCTGTCGCACGCGGATTTTCAGTTATTCAAAAGACATGCAAATGCAAAGACATCATAAAAAGCTAGCCTATATTAAAGGTAATACCCCATTAATATATAACTACTAGAGAGATGAAATAGGCTACACAGCTCAACAGCTAGTGGAGAGAATGAAAGTAGCCTAATTGTTAATTAGTGTCATTTTTTTTTGTACAGAGACTGTCTGTGTGTAAAGTCTGTAAGCAGTATGGGCTATTACAGCCAAAACAAGTTTGAAAGGCTGCAGTTAAGAGGATAAAATGCATCTCTTCTTTTACTCATCATTCTCAGCGTCACACAGTAAGGACGAGAGTAACACCTCATGGCTGTAAGAGAGGCTGAAAGATCCAGAGCACCACCATGGGCATCCTCTCTCTCTCTCTCTCTCTCTCTCTCTCTCTCTCTCTCTCTCTCTCTCTCTCTCTCTCTCTCTCCCCTCTGCCTTGTCCCGCGTTAAGATCATTCATAAAAAAAATGGCAGGATGACACCGCCATCAACATATGAGTTGTAGCCTATACACCAAAAGCTCTTCCTTCTCTGACTCTGAAGAGTAGACTCTCCGTTTTTTGTTTTTTCTTTCCAAACCATAGTGAAATGTAGGCTACAAAAACGAAGAAGCATTTGTCTTGAGTGAATTGCACAAACTGCAGAGGCAGCAAAAGGGAATGTTTCAGGTCACACACAATGTTGTTGGCTTTACTCGGCGGTTCATTGTCACCACACAGCCGAGATATATCCCCGTTCTTGCGGGTAAACAAAAGCGCTTGCGTCGCCTTTCCAGAAGCCGGTTTCTTTTCTCTCTGCCCCCCCCACCACCACCAGCGACCGCATTAATGTAAAATAATGAACATTTGAAGCATGCTTTAAAATCTGCTAAAAAAAAAAAACGAATTTCGACCCCACTTCCTTACCCTATTAATCCGCGACAGTGTCCGTGGAGTGGATGAGTATCTCAGTTCCAGGTTCAGCGGGGCTGTTGTTCAGGACAGCCGGGTAGAGATGCGGGATGCTCGCTGTGCTCCAGACTCCTTCCTCCCCGTGCTCGTGATGAACAGCGGTGTAGGACCGATCTCCGTCCGCTGACTGGCCTGCTGCTGCTGCTGCTGCGTCTGCCTCTTACTGCACACACATCCAAACACAAACACCGGACTAGCTGAGTGACTGATTAAGTGGCCCTTGGCTACAACAGCCGAGCCCTGTACACCATGTTACCGTGCAGGCGAGAAGCAGCAGTGATGGTGCTGCGGTGCTGCTGATGATGATGCTGGCGTTTCTTCTTCTTCTTCTTCTGAGGCCAGGCCGGGACGGGATAGTGGAGGAGGACGGTGTGTTTAAGTGTAGAGCGCCGCTGGAGTGGATTTAAACGGGGGGGGGATGGTTTCGTTGGGATTACGTGGTGGGGGTTTAATTAGACAGCGCAGCGCCTATTGGCACCGACCTTGCGCACAAGCCCTCCTCCAACTTTCCTCCCACCCCCTTCCCCTTTCTTTTTCTCTCTCTCTCTCTCTCTCTCTCTCTCTCTCTCTCTCTCTCCAGTCAAAGAGATAGATAGGCTATGTGTGTCACACAACACCGAATGATGGCGCACCGTGCAGTGTTTTTAATTTTTATAATTGACTAAACCGCGTTTTAAGTTCTATGGGATGAAATAATTGCACAGCCAGGAGTCACAAAGTAGGCTACCACAAACATTTGAATAGGTCAATAAAATAACAAGTTTGATGTTTTAAGGATCATGTTAACATAGACTTTTATTTTATCTTAAATGTAGCCTATGTACTTTGGTCGATAGAATAGGCCTTATCTTTTTGCACACGAACGAATGGTCTATGTATTTATAAAATAAACAAATAGGCAAAATAAAACAGAATCATGACAGATTGATTAAGATACCAGTCACTTTTTTTGATGCCAAAATATTTCGTTATTTACCATAGAACTTAAATTAATAATAGCCCTTTAAATGATCCTGTCTTTATTTGGAACAGGCATCAATACTAGACAGTCATGTAATGATTCAAAAGGCGGGGGAAAAAAAAGCCAAGATGGAAAAGACTTGAAAACTGTAAAGTTTCACCAGCAAAAACATTTAACTGTGTACAAAATCCTGACACAATCAGGATATGTTGAGCAAAACAAAGTACAAATCACTTATCTGATCTTAGTTTAAAACAGGAAATCTAGCCAACCTGCTGCACTGTGGTGGAGAGAGATGCTGTGCTAGCCTGTGAAGTCGTGTACAACATCATTATGCATGTATGCATATAACGTAGTGTTAAATATTTGGTATGAGAGATGGATAAAACATTTTTTCAACTTTTTTCCATCTCTAAGTTAATGTTCATCTTTATTTTTTTTTGTTGGGCCTTGCTGCATTTTCTTTGTATTTTTTGATCCGTATACTTGAAACTTAATGCAGGGACATCTAATTGAGACCTGTCTTTATTTGTAAAATGTGCAGCAACACCCAGCTAGTAAACGAGACATTATTGGTTTGTTTATTTATTAAGTTATGTATTCATTGTTCTCCAAAGTATCTCATAGCATCCATTCATTACCTTTGTTACAGTTATCCTACATGTCCACTGTCTCACTGTTTTTCTTTTTGTGTGTATGTGTGTGTGTCTCTTATACTGTTGTGCTTCTTAATGTCACACATGATGTCACTTGTTCATTATTTTGTCATGCTCCCCCCTCAACTAGGAGTCTATTATTGTCTATAATTCTACCTAATGGAAATTGTTAGTCTAAAGCATGCACTTAAGCAGCTGTGAAGGGCCCACTGCTGAGAAGAACAATGTTACTCCACAAAACAGGTGGGTGACAATATACGCCTGGATTGTTACTATTAAAAGGCAACCTGTCTGTGTGTTATATGTAGAGGCACACACAAATACACACAGTGCCACATCAGAGAGAGCAGCTCCAGTTCTTAGTCAGACATTGGACAGTCTGTTTATGTTAGCTTTGATGGGACATACTGAGTACCAGCAGGGCCATACACAAACAGACATATGCACACACACTCACACACACTCACATTCACACACACACACACACACACACACACATACACACACACATGCAAACATCTACAAACTCCCACTTTAAGGTTGGCTATCTCGGCCAGACATCAGCCATACTTTCTCACACCTCACAGAACATTAGATAGCTGTGGGAAGGTTTTTTTTTTTTATCTATTTGCGCTTAAGTTTGAAGATGACTCACAGTTGGTGGTCTCTCTGGACAAAATGTGGTTGCTCATTGAAGGGACAGCTGGCCTGCGTAACTGGTGCTACCCCAACCGGAAAATCAAAAACGATAAATTCCAAAAGGGACCTCGTATAGCTGCAACAATTTCCTGAGACAGTCCTTGCCATGGTGGATTTTTGTCAGCCACTGTAGCTTGTGATAATCAAGTCTCATTAGGTTTTCATCAATTAGATGTTGTGTAGCTGTAGCCATGTGTGCTCTGACTGTTTTGCTTTGATTAAGATGAATCGTTCTTACAGTAAAGCTCCAGATTCATTCCAGTGAAGGACCAGATCAAAACATCAGAGTCAATTTTCCAGCTTTTCAGAGGAAAAGACCATAAGAGAAACAGTCAGACTTTAAACAAAGGTTAAGGCTCCTGCAAATACCAAAGTTGAAAGTCTGATTGAAAGGAATTATTTATAGATGAATGTTATTGCCAAGCTATCATACACTGCAATACAAATGAAGGAGAGGATCAGGATTCCCAGCAGGGTGGGACAGATCAAATGCAGAGTGAGATGCATCTGGAGGATGGCAAGAGAAGAATTAGAATTTCCATGCACAGCTTGAGTTTAATTGAATTCACAAAGGGAGGCGTAGTGACTGCATTCAAAGTCGCACACCAGATATTTGAATGCTGATGTTTTGGTTTCAGTCGCGTCCTGTAAAAGTCGTCAGGAAGAGGACGTCTCAAGTTAAGTGTGAGCCACACTGAAAACACAACTACAATCTACAGGCCTACATTTCGGGTTTCCTTTTTGATAACCATTTTATGTGAACAGCTTTTTTGACTCCATCAATAATCCTTGAAGCTTTAACATGGAGAGTGAAATGAATTTTCAAGAACTTTTAGATCACATGGTTTAAATTATTATAGCAACAGATGGCCAACTGGAGGTGCAGTCTTTAGTGAAGGATTACGTTGAGCTCTCTCAATTTTTCTTACTTTACAAAGATTCGGGGTTTAAAGATGCAAACCTTTATGTTTATAAATGTTCAACAGAAATTTAAAATGATAATTGTTTGCCCAAAATGCTACATGAACCTTTAAAGGTAGAATATGTGATTTTTCACACTTAAATATAATAGAAATCAAGTATATTCTCTGAAAATAACTCTGTGAGTCATGACTGTCTACAATGAGTGTAACACCCGAGTCCCACTGTCTGTGATGCTTTCCCAGCTTTCCGAGCCCTAGCTACACTTTGTTTACATCGCCAGGACGGCCGGCCGGCCGACTCATACCCTCGCATAAAAGTTGTTTAATTGAGGGACTAGAGAAAAGAAGAATAACATACTGTACTCACTGCTTAATTGAATGTCACGTAAGCGTTTCCAGATCACGGTCGTTTCGTGTAAATTTACATGCAGTGTGAAGATACGAGCATAATAAAGATGGCTAGCATTAGCATGCTAACACAACAATGCAGCATGAGTTGTTTTGGTTTCTTGATGGTGCTCAGGGGCGACATCTTCCTTTAAACCACATCATAGTATGATCAATTGAAACCCTCAGTAAACAAATCTTCAGACTTTCTTATCATATAGGAGGATTTCCAAAGAAAAGAGGGGGATGAAATTAATAAAATAATAATATTATTATTATTATAATAATAATATTATTATTATTATAATGATAATAATAAAAAGTAATAATTTGAAATAAAGAATTACCAATGTCAATATAATTGATATTTGATATTTAATCACTATTTGATATTTGATGTTTAATATTTGTTTCTTACTTCTATGGAAAAAATGAATTTTTGAAACTCTGATTACTGATTTTTTTTTTTTTTCACCTGCAAGGCAGACACACTTACACTTAAAGCTCCTGTGAGGAACTTTTGACGGTCGTGATTTTGGTGACCCCCTGCAGACAAAAAGTTTATCCCTTTGTTGATGTTTGTTGTGCTTTCTTACAAAATGATTAATCCTTCTTTGTTTACAATGTCTGTCTAACGTGCAACGAACATTAAATCTTTAGTGTGGAACCCTTTTTCTAAATGCTGTTTTGGCAGGCTGCTGTTTATCCCCTCATGTGACACCCCGAGGTTTCAGGCATTAAAGGACAACATTATAGAAATATTCAATCTTGTTTATCATGGTCTCTTTTGCCAGCTACATAATATTCTCAGGAGCTTTAACTATAACTAACTGACAGTAAAACAAAAAATTGTAAAGTAGCTATTTGAAAAATCCCTTTTTTAGCTTAGCTTTTTACCTGGGTTAGCGAACACAGCATTTAGTTTGCTATAGCAGCCCTGAACAAATACATGTAATGGTGAGAGTGGAATTGGAAAAGGGTCATAGCAGCAGTAGGACGATGCAGAGAGGGCAGATCTGCTCTGCATGCATATCCCTGACCCCCATGGAACTCAAAACCAGCATTAAACAATCACCCTGTGTACGCATACTTTGCCTTCTTTTTATTACAGTTTCACACCTCGACATTTTGTTCATCATGTATAGTTAATCTCCGGGCTGGGCGATATGACCTCAAATCAATATCACGATTAATTGAACATTTTACCTCGATTAAATTAATGAACGATTATTGGATTTTTGTTGTTTTTGCCCTCATAGTTCACTGACATGTTCTCTTTTGTAACTATGCACAACTATTAAAGCTGGGATATTTTTTCTAATGACAGAGGTCATATCTGATTAATTATTTTGTGGTTATTTATTGAATATATAGAACTGAAATCAAACCATCGCTTGAAATGAAAACGACACATTTTAGTTTTAAAGTAGAAATTAACTTATCTAAAACAATAGAAAATAATTAACTTTCATTCCCTGCAATCAGTTTTTCCTCAGTGTTTACATTTGACTTATTTTTGTTTTGTGTCGTCTTCCCTAAAGACAAAATGTGTCCAAACGACTGACATTGCTTCCATGTCACAGATTGGAATCTGCCCTGAAAATAATCATAAGAATCGACATGGGCAAGATTACGTCGGTTAGAGGTTCTGAATGTCGGTTTTGATTCATTTTCTATTAATTTCCCAGCCCTAGTTAATCTGATTGGTTTAAGATTAGCATTTTTTGTGGTTTTAAATCATCAATGCGGTTGATTTATTGCTTCATTTTGCGAAAGAAGAGACAAGTAGCCAACTTGTGTAAAATAACATAAAGCTGTGGGTTGAATTTCCA